TATATATATATATATATATCTCTCTCAAGAACAAATATAATTCTATTTTGTATTTTATTTATTTATTTTTAATTTAATTTAATTTTTTTAATACTAAATTATACATTTCATAGTGTTTTTCTGCATTTTTATATTTATTCCAATGGCATGACAACGGAGCGGCCGGCGGACGTGAACATGGAAACAGGAAAACAAAAGACTTTCAAAACACGGAAACAAAAACACAGGGAGAAAGGGCACCTGTAACAGAAGAGGTCTGACGCAACAGGTTAGTAAATACAAATAAGTTTATCTGGTCACAGAGAGTACGGGTGTAGGTTCTATGGTTCAGAGGATGTGATGGTGAGGGAATAGTTCGAAGGATATGATGAGCGGGGTAATCCGGGTCTTTGGCTGTACAGGAGCTGGAATGCAGGCAGGAGGAGCACACACCTCAGCAATCCGGGAACTAGGAGGAACAGGAGACGAGGAGACACTTGGAGATGAGGAGTCACTAGAAGGAACACAGGAGGTAAGTAATGCAGGAAGTATTCAAATGGAAGCAGTAGTAAAGTTAGAGAGTCCTCTACGTGTGTACGAGACCGGACAATGAGGGTGTCTGAGGCTTGTGCTTTTATGCAGGCTGGTTGATGAGGTGCTTGATTGGTGACAGGTGCAGGTGCTCAGTACTCAGGTGAAGGTGTTTGCGGTGATTGGAAGGTGACTGAGTCTGGCCGATCTGTGACAGCGCCACTTACTGTTTGTAGGTCCGGTATTCTGTCACGGTGCTGCTACTGTGTCGGAGCGAGGAGACATAGGAGCATTTACAATTAGGAAATTCTTTATTAATTCAAAGGAACACGGAACACACACGTAGCAGGGGATAGACGAACAATACCGGATGCTGGACATGGAAAACCACAGGGCTTAAGAAACAAGGAACTAATTGGGACACGCCTGAAATCAATGAACATATGACACGAGGGAGAAACTAGGTCATGGGGAGAAAAACACAAGACACGGGAACACAGGACTGACAGGCAGTAACAATTTGAACAATATTTTGGAAACAATTTACAATAAGGTTTCATTAGTTAACATTAGTTAACATGAACTAAGAATAAACAGCAGCCTACTTCTACAGCATTTATTAATCTTAGTTCATATTAATTTCAACATTTACTAACGCACTATTAAAATCAAAAGTTGTGTTTGTTAACATTAGTTTATTCACTGAGTTTATGCACTCGCACGAAAATAAGAGGCGGGATTTATCGCACGAACCCATCACATTCAATCATAACCAATCACATCCAGTTATAGCGCGATGGAGGCATTGCCTCCTCTCAGAAAAGTCACGGCACGCTAAGGGGTCTCTGCTGAAAGTCTATGGACTGAAGGGAGGCAGGCCTCCGCTGTAACTTTACCTGTGGGACGCCATATTTAGTAATATTTGCGATTTATGTTTGTAATATCGATTATATTGTCATCCAATTTTTTTGAGGAGACACTGCCTCCCTTGCCTCCTCTCTCTCTCTCTCTCTCTCTCTCTCTATATATATATATATATCAGGGGTGGCGAACCCACGGCTCGCGAGCCGCTTGCGGCTCTTTCACTGCTCTTGTGCGGCTCTTCAATCTATCCACATGTTCTGTGTTTACAATCCCAATTTATTTTTAAAATGTCAAAACATAATTTTGCAATAAAGGGTTATGTATTTAAATGCATTTGCCGAATTTAATTTGGATTTTCAATATGTATTATTATTTATTTTCTTTCTTTTTTTTTTACACAACCTCTCGCGCGATTTAACATACGTTAGCCAGTTGACACACGATTGACGTGAAGTTCGTTAGTATCAATCGTCATGGCAGAGTCAGGGAAGCGTACAGCTAAGCGTAAATACGAAGATGAGCACAGAACATTTTTATCTGAATGGAAGACTGCACAATTAAGGAAGAGCTGCTTGACATTGTGCCGCTGAAAGACAGAACTCGTGGCATCGATCTGAAAGAGACACTGATGGCTGTTGTTGAGAAAGCAAATCTGCAGTTGTCAAAACTAACAGCAATAGCCACGGACGGAGCTCCAGCCATGTTGGGATCTGAGAAAGGTCTTATAGGGCTGTGTAGAGCTGATGATCGTTTTCCAGAATTTTGGACATTTCACTGTATTATCCATCAAGAGCACTTGGTGTCTAAAAAGCTGAACTTAGACCACATCATGAAACCTGTGCTGGAAATTGTCAATTTTATACGCACACATGCTCTCAATCACAGACAGTTCAAAAATCTCATTGATGAACTTGATGAAGATCTTCCATCTGATCTGCTTCTTCACTGCGCTGTGAGATGGCTTTCAAGAGGTAATGTGGTTTCTCGTTTCTTTGAGCTTTTGAATCCAGTGAAGCTGTTCCTTGCAGAGAAACATAGGGACTATCCTGAGCTACATGATCCCCAGTGGATTTCAGATTTGGCTTTTTTAGTCGACATGCTGCATTATCTAAATGGACTGAATGTGGATCTGCAAGGGAAGTTAAAGATGCTGCCTGACCTGGTGCAGAGTGTTTTCACATTTATCAACAAACTCAAGCTGTTCAAGACACATCTACAAAAGAGAGACTTCACACATTTTCCGTCCTTGTTGAAGGCAAGTGGACAAGCAGCAGAGGTTGTAAAAGGGAGTACTGCACGGTATGTAACACTGCTTGAAAATCTTGAGCAAAGTTTTGAGGACAGATTCTCCAACCTACGGCAAAAAAGACCACAGATTACATTTCTGATCAACCCGTTCACTGCTGAATCAGACTGTTTAAAAGCCCCTTTAGTGGAAGATGAAGCAGCATCTCAGCTTGAAATGATCGAACTTTCTGAGGATGACAGACTTAAAAGTGTTCTGAGGGAAGGAACCGTGGAGTTTTGGAAGATCGTGCCGGTTGAGAGATATCCCAATGTCAAACGGGCTGCACTCAAACTACTGTCAATGTTTGGGTCAACTTACATCTGTGAATCACTTTTTTCGACACTAAAACAAGTGAAATCAAAGCATCGCTCTGTTCTTACTGACACACATGTGAAAGAGTTACTACGAGTAGCCACAACTGAATACAAGCCAGACCTAAAAAAGATTGTGGAAACCAAGGACTGTCAGGTGTCCCACTGAGTCAAGTAAAAGGAGGTAGGCTGATTTAAATCCATGAAAAAGATTGCGTTATGTAATTAGGCGTATAAGTTATTGTGATATACTGTTGTTTGCATATCTGTTGTGTGGCTCTTTGCAGTGATACATTTTTTTTTTGGCTCATTATGCCAAACAGGTTAGCCACCCCTGATATATATAATAAAACTATAACATTTTAAAGTCTAAACTGGACAGAGCTGGTGTCTTCATGAATGTCGGCAGTTTTGACAATAATATTAGAAGCATTTGAGCCCTTCCTCTCAGTGAATGTGTGTATTTATAGATCATTGCATTCCATCTCGTAACTTCTGCAGCTGGATATCTCTGGGGAGGACAATAACCGCGGTTGGGGATCTCTATATTATTTAGAGCTGAAAAAACATTTATCACAAATCACCCTGATGGAGACTTCACAGGCTCTCTGACTGACAGTTTCCTGAGCGGCATAACAGGAATTGAGCTGCTAGAGTGACAGTGATCCTGTCATTTATTTATCACTGGGAACCTGGTACCTGCACTGGTTCAATATTTAGCCAAGCTATGCTCACTGCATATTTAAATTAGGCCTGTCAAGTTCAGTTTTTTACACCGTATTTTTCAAATCGTGGCTTTTTCAGCAATACCAAGATGTTTTTGGACATACATTTGCAGCTGAAGTTCATGAATTGACAACGTTGCACTTTATCTGGCATATTGTGCCGTGAGTGATGTGAGTTTGATTTCATAGTCTTGATAACTTTCCTGTTATAAAATGAGGAGAATTCATAATAAAGACACAGCGTAGGTGTTTTCCTGACTGGCAGTAAATAAAAGAGGAGCACTGAGAGGAGTGGCGACTATCACAAAGCTGTCAATAAGAATGCAGATGAATAAAACTAAGCAGCAATGAATGGAAAGAAAGAACAAACAGTCAAATAAACAATTTCTATGTGCGGATGAGGGACGTTCACATATTAAAAATTCTTATCTGACTTTATTTGGTTTTTATTCCTCACAGCGCAGACTGCCAATCTGAGAGCTGAAGAATTCAATCATCTATATTGCGATCAAAGTCACAGCACTGCAAACGCTGTCATTGACCTGTAAAGATTATACCACAATATAGAAATGGATGAAGTATTGAACAAAAAGATGATATCACAATTTCTCTATTCCTCTAATAAATCATAATTTAAACAGTTTTATTTCAGACACATATAGTTTATATGAAGAGAATGATTTTGTAAAATAACCAAATGAAATCAATAAACATTGAAGTGTTTAAAAGGGAAAACATACTTGGGTCATTGCTATTCTACAGCACGTTTTAATACTATATTGGATAAAATATTTTTTAAAGATCAAAATGATATGTTATTTTTTTAGCACAAGTGAAACGGATGAATTATTTATTTGAATTAATTTTCTTTTGATTTGAGCAGGTGTCGTTTTGTCATGTTTGTCTTGTCATTTTGTCATGGTGGTTCACTAATTATTTACATTAAAAATTTTATCAATGCTCCTTCATTTTTGTACTTTATCTAATCATAATATTTCAAACAAAAGATTGTTTTCATATCCTTTTAACAAAAGCCATTTCATCACTGACATTATCTTTCTAGTGGTGACTCGTCAGGGAGGGAAGGGAGACACAGGCTGCATCCGAAAACCTAGGCAGCTGCCTCGCTGCCTTATCAGGCAATGACTTTGCAGGCAGCGTTTTTGCACGAAAGCACCTCATGAAACTGATTTCGGACAAGCTTCTGAGGCAGCGTAATGGTTTAATGATCTACTATAAAATAAAACAAGTTTTGGTGATAACTAAACAAATATTTAATTACTATAATACTGATTTCTCGCTAGAACTAACATCAAAAGTGCAAAAAGTTAGTCAGAAATATACATTTACACACAAACTGACCACCAAACGCAACTTTCAGATGCTATCTTTATATTTTTTTAGCTCAACCATCAAGGAATGGAACGCACAGGATTGTGGGATATCAAAGGCAGTGAAGGATACATCTATGCTGCCTTAAAAAATCAATCAGATCAAGGTATCTCATGAGACAGGAAGTGAAGCTAACTTTGGATTCGGACGTGCCTTGATGCCTTCCTACCTTGGAATGCGTTCTCCGAAGGCAGCATTTTTCAGTTTTTGGATGCAGCCACAGCCTACTCAAAATTTAGAGTTGGAAAAAAATGGAAGAAGTAGCTTACAATTTAATGTTAATAAAATATCAAGTTATTAATTTCATGTCTTCAGAATGTCTATTTCTTCATTGTAATTTCACCGTTACAAACCATAACATTTTTACTGAAGTCGGAATCCCCTATGCTTTACCGCTGCTATTCCCCGTGAGCATCTCTGTGGATAGAGAAGTGGAGGGGGAAGTACAATCCATAGCCGGAGTTTGGCCTCCGTTGATAAAAAAATTAACCAATCACCATTGAGTATTTCACTGCGTCAGCAGAACGGGAAAATAATCTATGGAGGAGGTTAGCCTCCTTTGGTTTATCAACCAATCACCATTGAGACGTCAATTACGTTGTAATATGCTTGAACAGCTCTGTCGCGCTGATAATGGAGGGAACAGATATTGAATATTTCATTGCCATTTCACAAATGTACAAAGCTCACTTTTGAGCAGCAGCTACAAAATAAATAAATAGATAAATAAAATAAAATAATAATAATATTAAAAAAAAAACAAAAATAAATGAAAAAAAAGTGAAGGAAGACCCACGCCTAAGCTGGACATAAAACTTCATCTTCATAAATATTCATTAGATGGCCAAACGCACTGTTTTAGAACAGAATTATTTAGCAAATCTGAGTGGCTAACTGAGGATGGATTTTTCTTCAAAAAAAAAAAAAGCACAAAAATCAGTGTACATTGAAAAAAAAATGGCGTAGAAACAATTTTCTCTCAGAAATGGCTAGTAAATTCACAATTAATTACAAAAAAAGGCAAGTAACGTTTCATTAAATGTAAAGTTTTGAATTTGAAAGACTGAAATAGTATTTTCTTGCAAAATGTACTCCAATTATCTGTTGTTTTATTTACCAATTTCGTAGATTAGCGATTGATTGGATGAGTTCTGTTGGATGTGTCACTCTAAAACAGTGGTTCCCAAACCTGTCCTGGAGGACCCCCTGCCCTGCACACTTTGTATGTCTCCCTAATCAGACACCCAATTTAGTTCTTGCAGTCTCTACTAATGAGCTGATGAGTGGAATCAGGTGTGTTAGATAAGGGAGACATACAAAAGGTAGAGGGCAGGGGGGCCTCCAGGACAGGTTTGGGAACCACTGCTCTAAAATATTTCAATCGGTCAAATCAGTTAATCTAATATTTCAAAACCTGGTTATAATGATTAAAATACACTTCTCATTGACACCCTCATGAAGAATGACCCACATATTGGTTACTGACATGAATCTCTCTATTCTTCTCTTTCTACTCTCCTGTCATTTAAATGCCAATAAAAATACATGCTTTTAAAGTACACATTAAAATACAGTTGGGATGCAAATGTGCCATGTGTCATCTAGAGATAAAGGAAGTAGAATGGATCTTATGGGTCTCATTAGTTCAGTGCCGACCGACGGCCGCAGTGTAAAACAGTTGCGGATCATTTATGTTTGAACATTTTTCGGTTGCCGACAAACAAAGAACTAATGGAATAATTATTGATGCGGCTTCGCTGATACACAGCGCTATCACCAGCCGGCACACCTGAGATGCTCTCGTTTCATTTAAACACATATCTAATCAGTCTCCAGACTGTTGGAAATGAATGTTTGCTTCACTTCATTAATATTCTGGCACTATCTGTCACGCTAAAGATGTTTTTGGTCCAATATGGGATCTCAAAAAATCCCACTGTTATGCAACTTTCCGCTTTTGAATATGAATTTTGACAACAAGGCACTGGCAAATCCCACAAGAGCTCTGGCTAACATAATGACAAAACAGAGCAGAGAAAACAACAAATGTCTAGTTGTTCAGTTTGTGTTCGGACTTAACCCCTGAGACTGAAGTGAGTAAATAAAGGACACGCTTCCACATGGTCATGAGCCAGAATGGGTCATTGAGATGGATGGGAATGCTAACCGATAACTTTCTCTAGGGATTTTAGACCTCATTGTGCCTATGGAAACAGGGAAGGACAAAATTAACAAGAAGAAAATATACAAAGTTTATGTTTGTCTTCCTCAGCATTTGATGTCAAACTCTTATTGCCAGCAGACGGCTGAATAATGTCACTGTAATATCACTCCGAGGAAGCAAAATGGCACAGATCATTCTTGCCGAGAGGCACAACTATAACTTCCTCATCCTGACCTCAGCATTTCTGTCCCGGAAACTTATTTACTGCTTCTCCAAGGACTTAATTACCAACACAACCAAGAACAATAAAGTCCCGGCAAACAGTTACAACTGCGGCCTGATAAGGCCTGGACATTCATCAAAGAAAGCCCTCAATTAAGTCGTACTCTTGACTTTATAGGTGTTCATCGTGCAGAAAACGGCTTTTGTGCAGGCCATTACCTGTTAATAGGTCAGTCACTACATTTACTGCTCTGACACCATGACTGGCAAAATGATATTTAGGTAATATAATGTGTGAAATAGCTGGATGACTGAGGCATAAATAGCTATTTGATGTATGAATATATCGACTGTCGTAATACATTATTATGACACTTTCATTTTCAGACTGTAGGTATGTGATGTGAAATTGAATAAGCATACAGTAAAAATGCTACTTGTAAATGGTCTGAGACCTAAAATATTACTTCAAGATTGAATTCTATCCTGATATGAGCGCTGAACGGTACTTTCTGACCAAATACTTTGGAATATACAGGCATTTTATTTAATTGTTCAGTGGATGGAAATCTGGATGTTTGAGGTCTTGAAAAAGGATTTTAAAAGTACTGTTTTTGGACTGAACATGTACATTTTTATTTTTTATTTTTTAAAGTATGCAGTATTCATGGTGATACATGCATTTAAATATAATATAATATAATATAATATAATATCCAAAATGTAAGAACTAACACACACACACACACACACACACACACACACACACAAAAATGGCGTAATAAATCATATCTGTGTTGTGACTGATAATCTATGGCTTGCATAGATCATCA